CAAATTATTATTTTTTCATACATATTATTACATATATATGTAAAGACAATACATTTCTGCTGACATATTGTAAATTTTTTTTTGAGAGTCAATTTGGATTCACCCTCCTCTGATAGTATCACCCAGTTCTGGGTTCCTTTTGCATAAAAAGTGTTAGTTGATTAAAAAATGAAATATTTGAAACCACAATTTAGACTGGGGTGGTGACTCGGGAAGGATTCTCTGACATAGTATTATTTAGTTGAAAGAGGAAGGACATGTCATCGTCAGAAAACCAAGGATAAAACAAACATTCTAGACTAAGAGGAAAGAGCCTCAGGTGTCCTGTGAATGATGCACTTGGTGATGGAAAGCATTTGAGAAGTCAGGGAAATACAGAGTAGAATGAGAGCTAAAGAGGACAAAGCTTGTGAGGTCACAGCTACAACATCCAGGACTGCACCCGGATGGGCCACTCATGTTGCTAATGTTCAATTTACTTGTGGGTCATAAGGTGTGATTCTGTTTGTTTTCCATCTTCTCTTCAGAGACTTGCATGGTGGTCAGTATATAGTAGGTGCTCAAAAAATGCAAATGTTAGATGAAAAATAGGCATTGAAACCACCATAGTCAACTATATCACAAAAATAAAATCAAAAGTGTCTTTGCATATCTGAATATAATATGAAAATTGATAATACTTTTGACTTTAAATTGAAATGCATTCATTTCAAATTGAACACAATAATACACCATGAACAAGTAATATATATTCCAGAACTGGGTTAATTGTAGTTACTTTGATAACCTGATTTATGACAAAATGATGTCAGTGAAGAAAAATCATGACAACAATAACAATAGAAAACACACTTGAAAAAATTAACAGCCATTGTCAAGGTTAGCAGCCAAGTCAGATCTTCTTGGTAAACAAGGAAATGAAACACAAATTTCATAACCCAATTTAAAAAATAGTTATTTTTAAATTAGAGCCAGTACAATATTGTTGATGTTAAGTGTCATCAAGTTGGTTCAGACTCATAGCAACACTTGGTAGGATTGTGAGGAACAGCTAGTGAATTTGAACTGCTGACTTTGCTGTTCATACTGACTTTGTGGTGGATCACTTATTTTACCGCGCCACACCAGAAATCCAGCCAAGAGAACACTTTCTATTAAAACCTTCAAAACTTGGATTAAGTTCATGAACAAGCTAAGAAAATTGACCCCCACATAAATCCTTCCACATTCTTCTGAATGAAGACAATGGTTAAGATAAAACATGGAGATGAATTTGAGTACAGATATGGAAGAAATGCTTATTGTTCATAGGTGATATTGTGGATACTACAGAGGCAGCCTGGTAACACCATAGCTCAGCATGGACAGCTAACCACAAGGTCATTGCTTCAAACCCACCAGTAGCTCTGAGATAGAAAGCTGAGGTTTTCTGTTCCCCTAAAGATTTACAGCCTTGAAAACCCTATAGAGGATCTCAGTGATTCAGAATCAATTTGATGATAGGGAGTTTGGTTTGGATTTAAGGAAATTAACCTTTTATTAAAAAGCAAAACTTGTAATTGCTATCAATAATGTAGCATTGCTAACCAGAAAGTCAGTAGCTCAAGCCCACTCTCTGCTCCTCAGATACCCAATAAAGGGTCACTATGAGTCTGAACCACCTTGACAACATTAAATAACAACAAACACGTCAGCTAGATATTGAATAAGTATTAAGAAACCAATTGCTTTCATTTGCAGTTAAAACTGTTGTTCTTAACTACCATTGAGTCAGTTCTGACCCATAGCAACCCTGTATACAGTGTCTGAGGAGCAGTTGGTGGGTTTGAACTGTTAACTTATTGTTCAAACTAACCTTGTGGTCCTGCACATATAGAAAATTCTAATCTAATGTCCAAATATGCAAAACCTTGCATATGAAAGATATTCCTTGAATAGTTAATGAATAAATCACTGAATGTCAGAAATCTGACAGCAATATGTATATACATTTATATATGAAAATGAATTGAAGAGAAAACAGCCCTGGTAGTTTAGTGGATTATGAGTTGGGCTGATAACTACAAGGTCATTAGTTCAATTCTACCAGTCACTCCTTGGTAGAAAGATGAGGCTGTCTGCTCCTGTAACGATTCACAGCCTTAGGGACCACATACAGGTTCACTAGGAGTCAGAACCTACTTGGTGGCACACAACCACCACCACCACCAGAAGAAGGTGAAGTGGTGTTTGGTGAGAAAGATAAAAATGGGAAAGATAAGATAAGATGGAGTCTCTTTGGAAAATAACCCATTCAGGAAAGAATCATTTACAATTCTTCTTGGAGATAGACAACAGATTCCATAAAATAAAAAGTATAACAGAGGAGAGCTGGAAAACTGGCAGCAATGGAAACTAAGGTGTCTTCTCTGTACAGGAACTTTACCATCACAAATGAACTAAATACAGAACAATTTGAATATCAGTACCATGGGTACCAGACCCAGTACTCACTTGTTGATCTCTTTTGCTTCTTAACCTCCATGGCATCACTGAAGTTCTTTCTTTTCTCTTTGGTCTGTCCCTGAGAAGCCCAGCTGGGTTTTCACTTAGGCTGGGATCTGACAATTATAGGTGAGGGGCAAAGAAGATATATTTAATGTTTCCAGAGCCTCTGGGGTTGAATTCTCCTAGCTTCTCATTAAATAAATTGTTCTAACGTCCTTCCACTCACCAAGCCCTTCATGTCCCTTGGGTACAAAGAAGATAACAGAATGAAAAAAAGTTTCAATTAACTTTGTCTCTTTTGAGGAAGCTATATTTATTCCATCCAACAAATAATTCATCTTTATTTGCTTTGGATTAACACTTACAAGATGCTACCTAAGGAAATTTAAACTTCTTCAAAGAACCAAACTGAGGAACCATTACTCTGAACATGAAATTCCACCCTGCAATTTGTTTGACTTAAAGAATCTTTGGAGAGATTTTGAGTCACGTGATGTCCATAATGATAAGGAGGTACAAGGATCATGTCAAAGTCAAAAAAAGTGTTCACTGATTTTGATGCTACTAAAGTGTTGAAGAGCAAAGATGTCAGCTTAAGGATTAAGGTGTGTCTGACCCAAGCCATGGTATTTTCAATAACCTCATATGCATGTGAAAGCTGGATAGTAAATAAGCAAGACCACAGAAGAATTGATGCATTTGAGTTATAGTGTTGGAGGGAAATATTGAACGTGCCATGGGATGCCAAAAGAACCAACTTATCTGTGTTGGATGAAGTGCAGCCAGAGTGCTCCTTGAAGGCCAGGATGGCCAAGCTTCGTCTCTCATACTGTGGGCATAGTTTCAGGAGGGTCCAGTCTCTGGGGAAGGATATCATGTTTGGTAAGGTGGAGGGTCAGAGAAAACAGAGGAAGACCCCCAAAGAGATGAGTTGGTCAAGTGGTAGCATCGATGGACTCAAGCATGGCAACAATAGTAAGGTTGGCCCAGGATCGGGTAATGTTTCTTTCTGCTGTGCATAAGGTCACAATGAGTCAGTACTGACTCGATGGCACCTACCAACAACAACAAAAAGAACTAATATGATGCAGAATTGGCTTATATCTGTACCCTGCTGTGCTCAGTCTGTGACCAAGAGCAGACCAGAAGTAACTTGGCAGCACAAACTCAGTGGAGGATGAAGGTAGTTCTCAGATAATCTTCCCACAGAAGGGATCTGAGGGCTGTGACATTGAATGATGAAGTCTTCTTTAACTGAGACAGTTCTAAAAAAGGACTGAAGTTTGAAACCTCTCAGATAGTCATATTCAACACACCTAGAAGAATAATTAATTAATCCTGAAAGGGAATGTTGGTAACAAGCACAATATCCAACACAGTACACACCTTGGCATATTTGGATATACTTTGTACAAATTCTAAAAGCAGCTCCTTTATGGCTCTTCTGGCCCTTTTCTGAGGGGAGAAAACGTAAGAAGAGGAACAGGGAATAAATGACAATACCTGGTAGTTTCAAGGCTACAGAGGATTCTCAGTATCTCCCTCCTCTACTAATCATTCTCAGTTCCCTTCACCCAAAAAAGCAACTCTGCTCATCTGGTTGATGTACCTGGTGAGGTTATCCTAATTGTTATCTCTGAGTGATTCCAGCCTCTGGTCAACATTTCATTCTCAGGCATAGTGTCTGCTTTTCACCATTTACTATCAAAACTGGGAAAGGAAGATGCAGGGCGTATGTTCTGGTACCAAACATCTTATCCACATGATTGCATAGCCTTGATGCTTGGCTTGCTTAACTTGCAGACTTCTATAGAGGGTTGCTATGAGTGGAAACTGGCTTGAAAGCAGTGAGTTTCATTTTCAGTTTGATGTAACAAGAGAATCACAAAGTAGGTTATAGGGATTCTTGAACAAGACCATGCCACCCACAAGAACTTTTCATAAATAGCTCCTGGGATGTTTCTTTCTGATACAATCAAGATGGCTGATTGGGTAGACATATGGTGGATTGGAACATGGAATGCACAAAGTATGAATCTGGGAAAATAGGAAGTTGTCAAAAATGAAATGGAATGCATAAACATTGATATCTTAGGTATTAGTGAGCTGATATGAACTGGTATTGGCCATTTTTAATCTGACAATCACATGGTTTACTATGCCTGGAATTACAAATTGAAAAGGAATGGTGTTGTTTTCATCGTCAAAAAGAGCATATCCAGATCAGTCACAAGTTACAATGCTGGATGTGATAGGATAATATACATGTGCCTACTGAGAAAAGATTGAAGTTGTCAAGGACTTCATTCTTCTTGGATCAACTATCAATACTCACAGAAGCAACAGTCAAGAAATCAGATGATGTA